GTTGATATCGCTATCGTTGTTGATGTCGCTATCGTTGTTGATGTCACTAGCATTGTTGATGTCACTAGCATTGTTGATGTCACTAGCATTGTTGATGTCGCTAGCATTGTTGATGTCGCTAGCATTGTTGATGTTGATGTCGTTGTTGATGTCGCTAGCATTGTTGATGTCGCTAGCATTGTTGATGTCGCTAGCATTGTTGATGTCGCTAGCATTGTTGATGTCGCTAGCATTGTTGATGTCGCTAGCATTGTTGATGTGGCTAGCATTGTTGATGTCACTAGCATTGTTGATGTCGCTAGCATTGTTGATGTCGCTAGCATTGTTGATGTCGCTAGCATTGTTGATGTCGCTAGCATTGTTGATGTCGCTAGCATTGTTGATGTCGCTAGCATTGTTGATGTCGCTAGCATTGTTGATGTGGCTAGCATTGTTGATGTGGCTAGCATTGTTGATGTGGCTAGCATTGTTGATGCGCTAGCATTGTTGATGTTGCTAGCATTGTTGATGTCGCTAGCATTGTTGATGCGCTAGCATTGTTGATGCGCTAGCATTGTTGATGCGCTAGCATTGTTGATGTCGCTAGCATTGTTGATGTCGCTAGCATTGTTGATGTCGCTAGCATTGTTGATGTCGCTGGCATTGATATCACTGATGTTGATATTAGTGTCACTACATGACAAAGAAACAAAATTGCAATGAGGTGCGATGATGTCAAATACTTTCAGAAAATCAAGTTATTCAATCATACAGTCCAAGGTATTACTCACTGCCATGTATACTTACCCCTGGTGAGGTGGCTACTACCCTGTATGGCACCAGATACAAATCTAAACCCACTGACTTAAAGATGTTTTTAAATATGGAGATAATCTGCAAAGCCAACATATCCTGTAAACGAAACAAGATATGTATGTAAAATCAAAGTCATATTAAGACTATCACATCATTATCATCCAGGTTTCTTACAATGAACATTAGCAAGAATTTATAACATAGGTAATAATGACATCTCATTCCATATTGGGGTTCCATTCACTCATCAATTCATTATTTCAGAAATAATCTGGGGATGTTCCAGCAATTGCTGCAGGAGATACAGGAGTATATCCACTGCAAATTTTTATTAATGAGGCAAACACACATTTTGACTGATGACCTTAAGATAAAGAGTCATGGAATGTCCCTGTGAACAAATTTATTACAATTTGTTTTACATTATATTGCATGTACTCAATATTGGTGGTTTGTTATCATCTGTATTAATAGATAGCGATTAACGTTTCTTACCTGTCTGACATCATCCCCTACTTTGAATATACAAGCTTGCCACAGTAGGAGACCCATGTCAGAGCCTTTCTTGATACCACCCTGTAAACCATACACTTCTAACTCGTGTACACCAACTTTCTGCACCTTGAACTTGGCTAAAAACGGTGCCTTAGCAGCACTTCAAGATACCAATGCAAGAAAATTCACACATTTAAAATTCAACAATTGCAAATTATCAGACACTTTCTTACATTAATTTTCATCAAGATATGATAAATCACAGTATTTGTGTCCACGTAAAGAGGAACACTTGACTGACATTCAGTTTTCACCTATTCTAATTGCCACAAACATTAATAAATATCAATTAGCATGAAAATCCGTTCAAGATTTGAACTGCTGCCATCTTGAACTGTTTACTACATAGTAAGTCTCACTGAACCACAAAATAAAACTAAAAAGTGCATCTTTCCTTCTCTAAATCTGTTTATGCACAAAACAGAGGTGAATTAAAAAAAAAGGGCATCCTTGGCAGTATCAATAATATAAAACACTAAACCAATCAGAAAGAGAGTGTGATGTGGTGTTGAAATATTTTCAGTCACCTAGGGAGTCTTACCTCTGCATAGGAGTTCCTGATTTGTGATCAATATCCACAACAAGTCCTTCTGGGTTACTTGGTAAATAACACCCTGGAACTACTTCAATCTTGGCCAACTCTTTCAAACAAGCGTTCTTTCTTTCCACACCTTTTGGAAAACGCCTAGAATGCATGAAAAACACATAATGTATGTTTGTACTCTTTCAAATATCTTAAACTATTTTGCAGAAATCCTGAGTCAAAATGGAATCTCACAAAATCCAGTAGAGTCAGTTTGTTGACTTTTGGGGAGGTTAGTTTTCAAAAAAAAAATAAAATTGTATATGACTGTATGATGATCTGAAGAAAAAACAAAAATGTTCTGGCTTCCGATTTCCTTCGTATTTACTTATTTTGTTTATAAAATGTGAATGTCATTTTACAAATTCCAAATTCCATAACTATAAGATGTTTTTCAAGATAACTATATCAATGTTTGATTTTCTGTTGTGTTGATGACGTGCCACTGACTTAACACAACTAGTTTCAGTCAGTGACGTGTCATATCTGCTTAGAGGGCACATTGTTGTAAATCATTCAATTTTCACTGCTACAAATTTTTGTAATTTAATGTTATTGATGAGGACAGAATTTCCCTAATGTCACTGACAACCCATGATGCAGGACCCCAGAGAAATGTTCACTAACGTAAAATATTGCAATTTTCAATGACTGGTGAAATTTGCAAAAAAATTCTCTTTCGAAATTAAAGCAGTTTACTATATTTGTTGTGATGCTAGAAGTAAAATAAAATAAAGTTAACTATGCTAACGACATAATTAATATGCAAGGGTTGGTACAAACAATGATTTTTCAGATCAGCACCAGTTTTGTGCAGCTCATAACAGGCTTACCTTATTTGCCCCGATATTGCTGTTATTTTACCAAAAAAATCAAATTCTCTTTCGTAAAAATCTTTGGCAGGACCAGATAGGACCTTGGTGATATAATTCATAATGGCTTCAATTTGATCAGCAAACTCGCCTGCAAAACAAGACACAAATATATAAATAACAATAAAAACACAGCAATACAAGTATTAGTGTGGTCATAAAAACTTGATGTTTTTTTAAAAATTAAATTAGCAATTAAATAGTAAGAAGACAACAATGACAAAATAAAAAAAGATTTTAACTATGTATAAAAATTATTTTTGATTTGAAATTTTTTTTTTCAATGTACTGAAAAGAAGCAAATTTCCACATCGCTGTTAACTGAAACAACAATTATTGTTTTCACATACGATGTATTAAAAGTGAATCAGACAGACACAACTACATAATTTGTAACAGAATATAACAAACAGAGAAGCTTCTTACCATCACGGTTTTTGCCGTCTTCATCCGTATAAATATTAGTTTTAATGTTCCAAATCAGCTGATGAGCAAGTAATGGAGATTTCTTGGCAATCCAAAGAAGAAATTCTGACACATAACCAAACTTCGAAAAAAAAAATTAAAACTTATTATATTGATGTTACTGTATTAGAATAACGTCTCAAATGTGGCCACACCTGAAACTTATCTTCAGGCTGCACTGGAAATGCACCAACCCAAAACCTTCATTTGTTTTTAACTCAATGCTGATTATATTGTCTAGTTACAGGTACGCACACATTTCAACTACATCTTCTAATAGAGATGTAAATATTAAAAATCAGAAGAAAATGAAATTACAATATTAATTACAAACTTACAATATCATATCTAACAGCTTGTACCAGCTGTGGGACAAGAAATAGAAGTAATTCGGGTGGAGTTGACCTCAATACACGAATGGCATACTGCGCTGTTAATGGATGGGTTGGAAACTGGCGTGACAGATAGGCTAAGGCATCAATTGGCGCGACAGGCTTCCAGATTAGAGCGTTTGTTATCTGAAAACACAAATCCGGTAACATTCAATTAGCTCTTAGATCTTCATTTTAAAGCATCTACAAACCTTTAAAAAATGTTAGCCTAACAAGGGTTTTTTTTTTTTTTTGCATGATTAAAGCTATTTCAAGCTTAGACTGCGAATAATGAAATGCAGATAGATATACAGATCTTCTGTTGATGAAAACATAACTTTATAGATTATTAAATACACTGAGCATCACACAAATCTGATTCTATCTGAATTACTCTATGGCATACAATGTGTTACCATAAAATTCATAAGACACCCTGATACATGTACATGTATGTATTACCTCAGGGGCATCCGCTTCCACACTGTGCTCCGTTACAAGATAATGTATATTCTCTGTACAATCAATGACAGCCAGTGGATCAAGACGCACCAATCGGATTACCTCTCTTCTGACAGCATCTGTACTCTTGAATCTATCAACAAATCAAAAAAGGTCCCTAATTGGATGTTGAATAGTGTGCATATGTAAGAAAAATTCTGATTGTGGTTGTATATAAAATTCAAATCAATAACTAGGGAGTTCACATGCCAAATATGGTAAAATTGTTCAATAATTCACCTTCTAGGGAGTTCATATGCCAAATTTGGCAATATTTTCCAATAACTCACCTTCTAGGGAGTTCACATGCCAAATATGGCAATATTTTCCAATAACTCACCTTCTAGGGAGTTCACATGCCAAATATGGCAATATTTTCCAATAACTCACCTTCTAGGGAGTTCACATGCCAAATATGGCAATATTTTCCAATAACTCGCCTTCTAGGTAGTTCACATGCCAAATATGGCAATATTTTCCAATAACTCACCTTCTAGGTAGTTCACATGCCAAATATGGCTATATTTTCCAATAACTCACCTTCTAGGGAGTTCACATGCCAAATATGGCAATATTTTCCAATAACTCACCTTCTAGGGAGTTCACATGCCAAATATGGTGATATTTCCCATGCTAGTCTCACCATATCTCTCCATGTTCTGTCAGACACCATCTGAGCTCTCCACGTAGCTATGGTATCCTCTCCATCTAAATTTAAATCTTGCTGTCCAAGGGGATTGGTCCATGTGGTCAGACGGTCTATCTCATTCGCCTGAAAATCATTATTTACATTGCATTCAAATTGGGTCACAAAATTGAGCTTGGCTAAACTTTTATTCCATACAAAGATAGAATTAGTAAAAACTAAATTTTGTGAAAGTCGCTTACAATCTTTTTTATAGGACGCCAGGAACATTTGTACTGCTACAAAATTCCATAATTACCACTGACAAAATTGAATTTGTTTATATTATTATACATTAAAGGCAAGATAATCATTAATCAAATTTTAAATGAGAATTCAAATCAACCTCACCAGAAGAGAAAGAATAAAATTCCTCCTCTTCATGTAATCTTTTACCAAATAATCTGTGCCCCCAGCACTTTTTCTTGTCATGGTTGACGAACGTTTTGAAATAACCGACATGTTACTAGTTAGTTGTGCTGTGTTAATCCATCCTCCAGGTTGACGATGTATTTCCGAACTCGCCCTCAAGTCTACTGGCACTGTGCTTAATGTAGAACCAAGACCAGAATCTGGAGTCGGATCTGAAAACAATGAAACATATCAAAGGTGACATTTTAGCACCTTATGAAAGTTAATTATGATCAGAATATGATCAGAATATGATCAGAATATGATCAGAATATGATAAAAAGATAAAATAATTCCGAAATCAAGCACTGCATGTGTGTAAATATTAAAAGTGTATGACCATGTAAGCCAAGAAAGAGAATATGTTGGCCCTGTGTTGGCTTCTTGCTGATTACATTAAGAACTTCAAATAATAAATAATTTTTATTTTGGAATATAGTAAAAAAAAAAAAAAAACAAGCCATGCATGGCACAGTCCCCGTTAGTTATCAAATTTAAGATAATAGTTTTGTTATATAGTAATATAGTTGGAACATGTCAGAGATATGGATTACATTAAAATGATTGACATCTTGTATCTGAACGTCAAATGAGTACTTGTCCATATTGAGAAATATTGCTCTGGAACAGCATTAATTAAAACACAAGTCATTGAAAATGACACAGTCCCCGTTAAATTCTCTTTGTGCTCGTCATATTAAAGCGGAGGGGTTGTCGCGAGCGTGTCCTTGAAACTTGAGTTCCAAGTAGCGTATACAACAGATTGTTTATTTACATCAAAACACTTGTTTCGTGTCATAGTAATATAGCCAAAATAAAAACAGCCGTTATTCAGCCATCTTTGATCTGATTATGAAACACACTGATATGTATGATGTATGTGCCAAATACGAATGAAAATGGTACATAAATTGTGGAAATATAGTAGTAAGGCCAAAAAGTCAGATGGCTGTCAATCGGCCATCCTTGACCAGATTTTGAAACAAATTGTCATGGACATGCATCCTAACATGTACAAAGTACATGTATGTGCCAAATTTGAATGAAAACTGACAGAGCACGTCCAAGATACCGCATAAAAAAACAAAAACAAGATGCCTGCCAGTCGACCATCTTTGATCCAATTGCGAAATAAATCAACATGGACATGTATCTTAACATGTATAATCTATGTACCAAGTTTGAATGACAACTGACAAAGCATGTTCAAAATACAACATTTTCAAAAAACAAGATGGCTGCCAGTCGGCCATTTTGAAT